ATTAAATATTTATTTTTATGATAAAATTCCCGTGCAACGCACGGCTGGAGTACTAGTATTAATTAAAAATCAAGTAAATTACTCGAGCTTGATTTGTATTCAACTCGTTCAATCTCGACTCAAATGATAATTGAACCAAGTTGTGAACTTCTGTGGACTCAATAATATATTGGGCCTAATCACTACCATCAACAATAAGGGCCCATAACAGACGATTATAGCATACTCTACAAATGGCCCATCTGTTTTATTATGTAACAATTAACAATCAAATAAAAATTAAAGATTAAAAAACCTTTTCTTTTTATTTTTCATCAATTTTTTTTAATTTCGCTGTCTTTTTTTCTTCTTTTTCCTTTTTTCTTTTGAATAAATGAAAAGCAAAACCGACATTTTAACATTTTCTTATTTTAAAAAATATATTTATATTTGGTTCCTTGGCATAGCATTTCGATATTTGTTTAATTTTCCAAAATGTCGAGTAATTAAGTTTAAATTTATTCAATGTACTTCCATTAATTTATTTTTTCATTTATTTTTGTTGTAATAATAATTTGTCATTTATTACAAGATGGACTTTCATTAATATGGAAAGGATGATGCGTTTATTTGGAATTGTAGTTGCATTAATTGAAAAGGTCACAATTATGGGTCTACATTGTGTGCGCCCATTGTCTAAAATGTATAAATTATAATTATTTTTTATATTATTATATATTTTTACCATTCAAAGTGTAACAAAAAAATATTTGAACTTTGGAACTTGAAAATGCAACATTATTTCAATGTGATGTAGGTGATGATAGTGATTATTTCATTACCATTTTAATAATTAATTTTGGTAATAGAAACACCATGGGTAACGTTCTTGCAATTCTTCGCTTCGATTTTTGGTTTTTCCATTTTGTCTGTAAATCAAAATTGGAATAAATGAGATTTCGATTTTCCAATCCAAACTTTTTTTCAAAACATTTTTATTTTTTATTTTTGTCAACAGTTAGGTTACTAATATCAATAGTATCGTTTATTATAAGTGAATAACAAAAATATAAATTTATGAATTATTCAGTTTTAAATTTAAAAAAAAAATCGATTTTAGAACATATTTTTTTTTCATTTCTTTTTAACATACATGAAATTATTTTAAGTATACACATGAAATTGTTTAATACTTAAATGTTACTTTTAGTTATTTAGTTTTACTTCATTGTACAACTTAAAAATAAGATTTGCCATTTTTACTATAGCCATTAGCCACCACTTTCCCTTCTTCACCATTATTTATTTATTAATTAATTAATTTATTTATACTCTATTTTCTCTCTGTAAATTGAGAAAAAGCGTAGAGAAATTATCCAAAATTCGAAAACCCCAGATCTCTCTTCTCCCTTTTCCCCTCTCAAATCAGCTTCGCTTTCCGGTTTAGAATCGTGATTTAAGTCAATCTCAGCCGCCGGGAAAACGCTCTGACGCCGTCGGAATACGCCATATAATCAATTATCCGGCGGATAGATCGGCGATACGTTCAGAAATGAGCAACGGAGACCTCCTTCAAATCGATCCCGTCGAACTTCAATTCGCATGTAATTTATTGTATTGATTATGATTTCTGCGTTGTGTGTGGTCGGATTTTCTTTTTTGTTCAGTGATTACTTCTGGAAGATTCCAGTTTTGAGGGAAAGTAGAGATGATGCTGATTTAATTCCAGTCTCTTAGATCCGTGTTTTAGATTTTTTTCTTGTTTGATGTTTCTTATTATTTTTTCTTTTTCTGTTTATGCTATACAAAAGTCGAATTGAAGAAGCAGATCTCATGTTCCATGCAGTTGACCAACAAATCGGACGATACCGTTGCGTTCAAGGTATCACTTTTGTTTTACAAATCAGGTTTCTTCATTCAGAAAATGTATGCAAAACCAAAAAAAGAAAAATATTTTGAGAAATTTCTGTTTTTCACCTTCTCCTTTTGATTTTTTTTTTATTGGAAAATCCAGGTGAAAACTACCAATCCAAAGAAGTATTGCGTGAGGCCGAACACTGGAGTCGTGGTTCCTCACTCCTCGTGTGATGTTATAGGTCTCTCTCTTGTTATATATGTATAGATATTTATCTAATTTTTCATTATTCAGCAAATTAAGGTTGAAAAAAGATGACTAGTTACTGAATTTATAAGTTGTTTGTTCGTTAAGTGACAATGCAAGCCCAAAAGGAGGCTCCACCGGATTTGCAATGCAGGGACAAATTTCTCCTCCAGAGCGTAGTTGTAACCCCTGGAATTGCTGCAAAGGATATTACTGCTGAAATGGTATACGAATCTTTAGCTCAATTCTTGTACAGTTTAATTAGGATGCAAAGTTTCAGTGAAAAAAAAATGACAGTGTTTATACTCATGGTCTGTCTTTTTAGTTCAACAAAGAATCGGGGAATCAAGTTGATGAATGCAAGTTGAGAGTTACCTATGTACCACCACCACAACCACCTTCACCGGTGCGAGAGGGATCAGAGGAAGGCTCCTCGCCCAGGGCCTCTGTTTCAGACAATGGGACTGTAAATCAGACTTTTGATTTCAACATTGTGAGTATTGGGATTTTAACTTAAATAGGAGGATGTGCTAGCTCTAACCATTAGCTGTACTTTTAAATAAAAAATTAAAAGATTATGATCATTCCTTTTCTTTTATGACTTCAGATGTCGAAAGGATTTGTTGAGCCACAGGAAAGCACCCCCGAGGTTATATTTCTAAACTTTGTTGTCTTTCTTTTCCATTCGATTTGATCAATTTTTTTGCCATATTTCATTCTTCTTGACTTAGTTGATTCTAACTTGTGTGGGCTCTGGCTAACTTTCAACGCTTTTTTAGGTGTAATTATTTGGAGAATTTTAATTTTTTTTATCTAGACTACGAGTATCTTTCCTTCCAATACTAGGAAAGTGCAATAAATTTTGAGGGGTTTATACTATGCTACACCGGGTGAAATACACCGGGTAGATCGTTACCATTCATATACACACAAACACCCACACACCCACATTAGTGTGTGTAGATCAACAGTAAAAATCCACCCGGTGTAACCTTCACCGAATGTAGCATAGAGATAACCATTTTAAGGTTTTGTCAATGTCGGAGTTGGTTGGTTGTCCTTTAGTTGGACTTTGAATCTTTGATCATGTATGGAGTGATTGATAGTAACCACTTGATATTTTAAGGAGAAATTCTGAAACAGTAAAGAATTAAAGGCCATAAATGTCCTAGCTAACGAAGAGTTACTACTACGAAAGCCGAATGAAGAATGTCCTTACTCTCTTAACATATATTTGATATCTTTGCAAGTCAATGTGGACTTAATGAATTACGAGGGAGCTGTGAGAAGCGATAGAAAATTTCTTGAGTTTATAATTTTTTGGGCCTTCAAGAGTTCTAAACCAGGGATTTTATGCTTTATAGTTTATTCTGCTTGAAAATGAATCTGGAAGATTGGTTGAATCTCTGAAATATTGGCAAATTTACTAGTGCATCCTACATACTTGACTAGTCTTTGATAAGTGGAGTTCCGGCATTAGTTGCATTCGTGAGTTTTAGGAGAAGGCATGTGTACTATTGCCATCTATTTTCAGTCGTGTGATCAGGATGACATTGTGTCACATAGTTATGGTGATCTGGTCGAAACTTTCTGTTGCAATCTGGTCGTCTTCCTTATCCAAAAATTAGCAGTTTTTAGTTATTTGAAGGGAAAAGTCTGTCGGATCGTTTTTCACTCTTGATTATTGAAACTGAATCTTAAAGCTTCCCCTTCCGACTGAATTCTTTACTCATGTCAATTCATATTATCAATTCGTAAAGTATATATTAGGTCCCCGAACTTCGGTGAAGCTCTTTAACTTTTGATCCATCTATATGAAATTGCTGAAAATAGTATTATATGATTTTGGAGAACTTATATCCTTTGTGGTGAATGCAACCAATTTTTTTATGCATTTTAGTTAAAGAACATGAAAAAGGTTAAAACATTGGAAGTGGACGCGATGTATATATATTAGATTTGTATGTTTTGATTTTATCCATTGAATGTTTTATAATTTTTTTTTTGTTTTGGTTTTAATTGTAGGTTAAGGCCCTGATTTCTAGGCTGGCTGAGGAGAAACGTTCTGCTATTCAGCAAAATAACAAGCTTCAGGGAGAACTGGTAATAATTCGTTTTCTTATTTTTGGATCCCTTTTAGTTTGTCAAAATCACCTACTTCTAAGAGTAATTTCGCAGTTTTAGCAACAGCCCACAAACCATACTATCATCTCATCACATGCACATAAATGCTTCATAGCCTACCACTATCATAAATTCCAGCTTCGAAAAAAAATTTAACCCTCGTTTGGTTGGTTTGGTAAGACAAGCCATGATTAATTAAATAATTTGGTCTTATTTGATGTCTCGTTTGTGTAATAAATTTCGGGGCTAGGCTCCAATCTGGAAGATGAGCTCTTATCTCAGCTTATCGGTGTCCAGTTATCGAATTGGGTTCTCTAGTCTTAACTTCGGAACCAAACGAGGCTTTAGAGTAAAATTCAGCATGCAGACAGTAAAGCCTCAAAAGTCAAAAGTCTTATCTATGAAACTAAAAGCTTTTGCGACATTGAATTCATGAATGTGAAAGTTTCATAACGCATTAGTTTTTATTTTCTATGCAAAATCTTTCCGCTCTGCCTAAATTACAATGGAACGAAAACATTTGAAATCGTTTCACTATTTGAAAACCCATTTTTAGTTTTCTTTCCTAATCTTCGAATTCCCCATTACATGTGCTTCAATTGCAACTCTATTGATTTTTCACTTGCCAAACGAAAGTGATTTCTATTGGAATCATTTAAGTCGAAGTCAATTTATTATTATTATTATTGATTTGCTTATAAATGTTTGTACAGGAATTGTTGAGGCGTCAAAGCAACAGAAGCAGTGGGGGAATCCCGTTCATGTACGTTATCGTCGTTGGCTTGATAGGCATCCTATTGGGGTATCTCTTGAAGAGAACATGATCGGTTGCTCTCGATTTTAGAAAAAAAATCTCTTTCAAAGTTTACGACTTTCTAAAAGAAAATTTGTCGGTGATGAGAGAGCGAGCTTTTATATTCAGTTTAGCTGTTTTGATTGACTGTAGAAAAAACGTGCCTAAAATGGGTTTGCTGGTGTCCTTTTTTTTTTTTTTTTTTTTTTTTTTGTTGTAATTTGCTCAAAATGCATTCATTGTGTGACTAATTGCTTAACATACTTTACTTCTGTAACTTAAGGTTATAATTTACCGAAATCTCATGTATTGGTTTTATTTTCAGTTTATTCATTTTACACACTATAAAATTTTCATTACAAATTTTATGACCAAATATTTAATTATATAGTTTCTTAATAACTCCAATGAAAATAAAATATAATTGGAAATTCGTTGTATACGATGGAAAATGAGATCTATACAAACGCCAAGTAAGATTAGAATTTTTATTTGGGGTAAATTATGCAAACCCTCGAACTTATGCTAAGTAACGAAAAACACCCCTAGCTATCTATAATAACCAAAATCCCCCTCTGATTAACTATTGATCGAGTTTTTTTAACATAAATGTGTACGGTCTATTATACCTTAAATGTTAAATAGGTGAGAAATAAAAAAATAAAATCGCGAAAAGTCGTGTAAGACTGAAACAAACCTCAGGGGGTTTTTGGTAATTACGAATAGGTGGGGGGATATTTTTTGTTATTTAGCCTAAGTTTAGGGAGTTTCGTAATTTACCCTTTCTTTTTATTTTTTTAATTAGGAAACTAATAAACTCAAATTTCCAAATTTATTTTTTGTTATTTAGCCTAAGTTCATGGAGTTTCGTAATTTTTCCTTTCTTTTTATTTTTTTTAATAGGAAACTAATAAACTCAAATTTCCAAATTTATTTATTTATTTATATTTTTCTATTTTTGGGTTATTACCAAATCACGTTACACTGTTGCCATCCGAATCGTTGATAACGAGGCAGAGTCTGAACCGGAAGCGGTTCACTAAGCTGAAGCCGAACGGCGTCGCCGCCCTCCATAATCTTCCCCACCACCGCTTTCAGCTATGCACCTCAATTCCAGATAATCCATCTCTTCGCCCGAGCGAATATTCTCTTCTCATCAATGGCTCCGCAAGCAGTGGAATTCAATAGAATTGCTTTAGCCCCGCTCTCCGTCACCTCCCTCTGCTCCTGCCGCTCCAATTCCGGCCGCCGCCCGATCTTCCCCAAATTAACCAGTCCACCGAATTTTCAAAAATTCAGGTTCAATTTAGAGCTAAATAGTGATTCCACGCGACGAATTTACAGAATTCCTAGCGGCGCTCTGTTCAAAAACCGCCGGCGAGTGATCTCCGCCGTAGCTGCCGAGCAACCGGAGCGAATTGACGACAGTGAATTAACTAACGAGGTAATGTGATTTTATTTTACCATCATCATATTATCAGGTGTAATTTCTTCAAAAATAAATGCTGTTTTTCGCTGTTTCATTGTAGGAAGTTAGAATAGGTGGTTTAGATTCAGAAGAGCAGCAAAAATCAAGTCAATTGAAGAAAAGGGTTATATTTGGGCTGGGTATTGGAATTTCTGTTGGAGGAGTGGTTTTGGCTGGACAATGGGTTTTCACCGTGGCCCTCTCTGCAGCGGTGTTTGTCGGTGCGAGGGAGTACTTCGAGCTTGTAAGAAGTCGAGGAATTGCTTCTGGAATGACACCTCCTCCTCGATACGTGTCACGGGCTTGTTCGGTTATCTGTTCTCTGATGCCTGTTCTAACACTGTAAGAACTTCTTCCCTGAAATTCTAATTGTCTAGGAAATTCGTTTGTGTTAATGACGGCATGCGTGTATTTCTCCTTTTAGGAAGCACTTTGTTTGATCTTGCCTAAATAAGATTAAGAAGATTAATGCACTCAAGACTAAGACCGAAAGGATAATCAAGATTGAAGTAAATGTTACTACTGAGTACTGACAATAATATACTGATTGCACATGCCTAAATTAGGATAACAAGATTAATGGCGTCAACATGACGAAAAATAATTTATAGGACAACAAAAGGATGTCAATGTTAAGGTACTCCTGTCTATAGTTAAAAGATTACCGGAATGTCCACATGTTTAGTGTTTGCGTTTCGAAATTGCTAGTTATATAGAGAATTTTGATGCAATGATTTCTATTTTTATGCATTTCTTGTGCTATTTACTTTAGATTATACGAATTTTATTCTTAATGGGAGGTAATTTTATCTCCCGAACCTCTGACCTTTGGTATTTATTGAGATACATCATCGGTACGTCAATACATGCCTTTTTTCTTGAATTAAGGACTTCATTAAGAAGTTCTTTGAAAAATTCTTTAATAAATAGCTGCACTGTGTGTATTTGTGTTTAGCTGTTTTGTACAAAGATCAAGTGCCTCTTTTCCCTAACATCCTGTTCTTGTTGAGAATGCATTTACCTTTCCATGAAATTTTCTCAGGCCCTCTTTTCCGATTCGTCTTGCATGCCTCGATTTTTCAGTTAATCATGTCTACCTTTCTCTAGATAGCTTTTGCTGATGATTACTTTTTTGGTCTCTCTGATAGATATTTTGGCGGGAATATTGATGTGTCAGTGACATCTGCTTCGTTTTTCGTGTCTATGGCTCTCCTTCTGCAGAGAGGAAATCCTCGTTTTGCTCAGCTGAGTAGTACCATGTTCGGACTGTTCTATTGTGGCTACCTTCCTTGTTTCTGGGTTAAGCTTCGTTGTTTAGCAGTCCCTGCACTGAATTCCAGTAAGTCAGTTTCCCTTTACTGAATAATCGTGAGGGTTTTATTTTTGGCTTCGATAGGTCTAGCACTAACAGCATACAAAAATTATTTTTCCTTTTCACTAGGTCTATTGTTGTACCATCACTCATGTTTATTTTTTTTGCGTGAAAATACGTTTTTTTGTAATATTATTACGTATTTCTCCGAGATTGGACAAAGTCACATGATGTGGTTACAAAATAAACATTTTGTGGCAGGATTTGTAGCATCTTGGCCTATTCTTCTTGGTGGTCAAACTATATGGACAGTGGGTCTTGTAGCCACCTTAATCTCGTTTAGCAGTATTATTGCAGCAGATACATTTGCTTTTGTTGGTGGAAAGGTCTGTTTTTTCTCTTTGCATTATTCTTCTCTTAGAATTTGAGCGAATAAAATAATCTTTAAGATGAAATTAGTGCATAAAATTCCGTTAGGGATTGCCTTATTTGTTGGTTTTATTTATTTCTTTCTTTGTGGCTATTAACTGAGAATGGAGAACTGTCGTGTGGGAAAATGGTATTGATAGAAATTTCATTCAGGCATTTGGTCGAACACCACTTACTAGTGTTAGTCCAAAAAAGACATGGGAAGGAGCTCTTGCCGGATTATGTGGTTGTATAGCAACTTCCATCTTATTGGCCAAGATTATGTGCTGGCCTTCTTCTCTCTCGAGGTTTTCTTTTAATCCCTTTCATTTTTTTCTTTCTGTTTCAGACACATTACATTGTTAACTATGAGTTTTATTATCGTTGGATCTCATTTTACGTAAAATTGATGTTTTTCGGATAATTTTCAGTGCTGTAGCTTTTGGGATACTGAATTTCTTCGGGTCTCTTTTTGGGGACCTTATCGAGTCCATGATCAAGCGTGATGCTGGTGTCAAGGATTCCGGATCCCTCATACCTGGACACGGTAAGGCCATTTTCCGAAAAGTTCCATTTTTTTTCCGGAAGTGGAAAACTAATTCCAATTCCGTTTCAAAAAAAAAAGTAAATCAGAATTTCAGAAATTAGAATGAAAAAACATGTTCCAAAATCGAAAATTTTCAGTCACTTATAAGTTATAATACAAAACTCATATTAAATTAATATTATAACTGTATCTTCGGAAAATAATCAGAATTTTCGGAAATTAAAATCGGATTAGAAATCAAAATATAATACGTATCCCAATTCCGTTCTTTTGGGGAAATCGGAAATTGGAACTTTCGAAATTCAGAATAAAAAATATAGTTCGAAAATCGGTAATATTCAGATCAAATTAGGCGGAATTCATAATTTATGTTTCAATTTTCACGCCTAGTTGGTCATAGTTATCATCAGATCACTTCAAAAAAGCCAGTAAAACTCGACAATCACCTATTCTCTTCCTACACAGTAGTTTCTATTATACGATATCCAGATTTTTCCCCAAGTCAAAAAAGATTCTTCTATTACATCATCCTAGTTTTTATTCTTAACAAGACTTTTCTGTGTAAGCAGGTGGGATACTAGATAGGGTCGACAGCTACATCTTTACAGGAGCCCTCGCTTACTCCTTCGTCAAAAAATTTCTACCACTCTACGGAGTTTGACGAAACTTCTTCTCTGCAATCTTCTCTCCTAAACGGTAGAAGACATTCGTTCGAAACATCATGGGACCAAGTACGTACATCTTGAGCATCGGACGAGGGAACTGAGAATATACACTTGTCATCACTCAACCAGGTTCTTCCTATACACGTACAATAATTATTTCGTTTCGAATTTCTTTTTTCCAATAAAGAAGAGGCATTGTGACAATAAGTCGTTAGAGGTTTGTAGTAACTTTAGTTTTAATAAGAAACATTTTTTTTTTCTGTAATATAATTTAAGATGGATTAGTTTTTTATTTCCTAGAAAATGGAGTTTCTCGAAAATGCCTACGTTCGATCTGATTCGCTCGATTTTTATCCGGGATATAGTTTAAGATTCGAGAAAGTCTTGATATCGAAGAAAGCAGTTGATGGAGCAACAAGTGTCACTTGGGTTTGTCTAAATGAAAACAAAATCATTTGCACCCACTTCTCTTTAAATCTTGATCGGTTGTTGACTAATAATAAAGGTGTGGGTCCACACCTATCTCTCATAATAGGAAATTACGGGGAGTTGACCGGGTGATTATTAAACGTAAATGTGGTTAAATAACTACCACTTAACACACATACACATCAAGTATGTGTCTGATTACGTGCAGATCTACGGTTAACAATCATCAGGTGTAATATACAGTTTCCCTGAAATTACGGGATGTACATCAATTGGTCAATTAATACGAGATTGTCTACTAAATCAAAATTTACAAGAAACTAAATTTCAAACTTTTGTAAGAAGTAGAAATCGAACCGCCACTCTATATCATTTACCGTTGAGTTACGCCTACGCCCGAGTTATGATCGACTGAGTGGTTGACTAATAACAGTTGACTAAGTGACATTGATATGTTATTGACAAAAACATGTGAAACCTTAGCCTATCCAAAGTGAAAAAATGGTTGCCCTTAAGTGGCTAAAATGTATGACTTAAAAAAAGAGACCTTTAATTTAGCACCACGAATCATGCTGCATCATTCTCAACTCTTTGTGCCGTCCTGCAAATACTCCATTTTTATTTATATTCTAAATAAAAATTACATTTTGATCACTTAGTGATTTTATTATTTAAAAAAAGAATATAAAAATGATAATTAGCTCGAGATAAAGTAGAAAGATTGATAATTTAAATTACAATATGTTTCAAGACAAAGAGTTTGGCCAATAATGCCCCTCCACTTTCACGTGTATTTGTCTCTTCAACCTCTCTCACGACAATTTGCACATGTATGCAACTATCTCATAAGTTTTTTTTTTTTTTTTTCTTTTTTTTTTTATTTATATAAATTATGCAACTGCAAATAGAGTTCAAGTTTGTGATTTTCATTCCAAAATGTGGTTTTTTTGTGTGTGTGTGTGTGTGTGTATTGTTTTATCGATCAATTACCTTAAACAGTTAAACGACATTTAAAAAGAAACGAAGAGAGTCGACGCTTATTGATGGAATTCCGTTACACTAGAGAAATAAAGGTATATGTATTATATTTTTTTTTTCTAATTTATGATTTTATTTTTGTATCTATCTAGTTAAGTTGATATGTTGTGACACAAATTAGAGAAGAAACCTACCATATTTAGCAATACCACCATAGATGTTTGTCTACTTTTTCTTTCTTTCTATTCAGCACACGGGGCATGTTGCC